GGTTCATCACCAAGCAGTATTTATCCTCATGTTCCTAAAACTATACCTTGGATAAACAAATAACAACTCGGCCAAGTATTTACTTATTTCTCTATTAGTTCAGTATTATGCCTCTTCTCCCTTCCTTTGTTAAGTAAGGTAATTCCTACTGTTCAAGAGGACATTATAACCTAGAAAAGTAAGTCAAAATTATCAACAAAATAAATTAATGAATAAAATAAAGTGAATAACATGCTTGTTGAGTTGCATTAAATACTGTCATACTTTTTCTGAGAGATTCAGATAGAGAAATTGCTTTTCTGAGAGTAAAACACAGCATTATAGGTTGCCTGTAGGCTAATTGAAATGAGAAGTTAGTTGTTCTACAGATCAATAAAATGTTTCTGTACTATAATGACAGATAAGCCATATAGTTTATTGAAAGAAAGATGAAGATCACCTATATGTATTTGAACAATGTTACAATTAGCATAGATTAAAGTCCTGCAAAGAGGTATGACTATCCTATACAGTACATTAACTGGAAAAGAGTACTAATTTACTCATTTCATGAGCTAACTGAATGCATCTGAGTGAATGCTAATAAGTAACATAATGTTAATGGATGTTAATGAATATTAATAAGTAACATTCGAGACTGCACCTCAAATACTGTGTTCAGTTTTGGGCCCCTCACTACAAGAAGGATGTCGAGGTGCTGGAGCATGTCCAGAGAAGGGCAACGAAGCTGGTGAAGGGTCTGGAGCACAAGTCTTATGAGGAGCAGCTGAGGGAACTGGGGTTGTTTAGCCTGCAGAAGAGGAGGCTGAGGGGAGACCTCATCGCTCTCTACAACTACCTGAAAGGAGGTTGTAGCGAGGTGGGTGTCGGTCTCTTCTCCCAAGTAACTAGCAATAGGATGAGAGGAAATGGCCTCAAGTTGTGCAGGGGAGGTTTAGATTGGATGTGAGGAAAAATTTCTTCACCGAAAGGGTTGTCAAGCATTGGGACAGGGTGCCCAGGGAAGTGGTTGGGTCACCATCCCTGGAGGTATTTAAAAGACGTGTAGATATGGCACTTAGAGACATGGTTTAGTGGTGGACTTGGCAGGGGTAAGTTAATGGTTGGACTCAATGATCTTCAAGGTCTTTTCCAACCTAAACGATTCTATGATTCTATGATAAAAATTGAGAACCATATCAACCTCTACAGAATCTTGATACATAAGCCACCGGGCAGCTCCTCTAGAACAATTCAGAGCATCCCCAAGACTGTTTGAAATTTCTGCTTTACAACAGCTCCTGGAAGGCTGCGATGCTGGGAGCATAGGAACAATCTGCTCAACTAGGGAAGATTTGGTGAAACAGTTTTGATGCAGGCTGGTACCTGATCCTCAGGGCTCCTAACTTCCCAAACAATTTTTAGAGGGTTGAGACAGTGTTGTGGTTTAACCCCAGCCAGCAACTAAACACCACACAGCTGCACACTCACTCCCCCCACAATATGGGGAGAGAATCGGAAGGGTAAAAATGAGAAAACTCGTGGGTTGAGCTAAAGACAGTTTAATAGGGAAAGCAAAAGCCGCGCACGCAAGCCAAGCAAAACAAGGAATTCATTCACTACTTCCCATGGGCAGGCAGGTGTTCAGCCATCTCCAGGAGAGCAGGGCTCCATCACGCCTAACGGTGACTTGGGAAGACAAACGCCATCACTCTGAACGTCCCCCCCTTCCTTCTTCTTCATCCAGCTTTACATGCTGAGCATGCCATCATATGGTATGGAATATCCCTTTGGTCAGTTTGGGTCAGCTGTCCCAGCCGTGTCCCCTCCCAACTTCTTGTGCACCCCCAGCCTACTCGCTGGTGGGGTGGGGTGAGAAGCAGAAAAGGCCTTGACTCTGTGTAAGCACTGCTCAGCAGTAACTAAAACATCCCTGTGTTATCAACACTGTTTCCAGCACAAATCCAAAACACAGCCTCATACTAGCTTCTATGAAGAAAATTAACTCTATCCCAGCCAAAACCGTCACATTCTAAAAGCTAAAACATCAGTGTGTTATCAACATTATTCTTATCCCACACAGTACTATACCAGCTATTAGGAAGAAGATTAAGTCTCCCAGCCAAAACCAGCACAGACAGACTCATAGCTTACAATAAAGAATCATAAATTCACGGTATATGCATCCCACATTATTTTTAATGTCCTATCAAAATTTATTCAATGCCGAAGGAAATGTTCAATTGAGCCTTTAGTTGGTTCCTCTGCTTTCCAGTAATAAAGTTTACAACAATTTAGTGTTTAGTAAGAACATTTCCAATTTCCACTCGTAGTCTAAATAAATGTCTATAATATATTTTATCTAACCTTCATGTTGCTGAATTTTTTCCTCTTATGTGTTTGTTGTTTTCAGATAGTATTGTTTGTAATTATCTGTTTGCCTCATGTGTGTATGAGACATCTTCAGGCTGTCTCTGAAGCAGTGGTTAAATACTCGTTGGGAGACATTTCTCATCTTTTGATCGAAGAGTTTTTATTTTTTAACAGTTTTCTTTTCATTCCATCCATTTTTTTGAAACATTTCGATTCTACAGATACTGACAGATAATTAATGAGTGATTTCAAATATTTGTTTTGCTTGATTTTTTAGTATTTCAGAATGCTTGAAGCTGGTATTAGTAAAATGATTTTCTGAAACAGATGGCTGACACTTGGGGTGTGATTATAAAGCAGAGTGTAGTGTCATGTGGATATGTTTGAACTAGCTTGACTATTTGGAAGTCTCTAATTAGTTCACCCTGTCATATGGGTTATAACACTTCCAGTTCCTGAAGTGGCTTGATTATATAACATATTCTTTATGGCCTCTGCATAACATATTCTTTATGGCCTCAACCTTTTCCTTTTTGGAATGCATTAGTCAGAGCAAAAGTGTCAAAAGTTGATATTTCACATTTATTTTAACAATAAGTAAATTCCAAAATTAATCTCATACTATCACTATAATTTTATGTATGAAATAAAGCAACCAGCAACATGAAAGTGTCAGTTGACATCATCTGTAAGCATGAAGCATTGCAAAAGGACGCATGGCAGAGCATTTATTTGGAAATTTGTGAAGACGGCTTTTATATGCATATCAACAAATTGCATCAAAGAATTAACTATGCGTTTTAATTGAATCAACTACTAAGCAATTTTCCTGTTACATCAGCATTGAAATTTTATTTTTTATATAGTAAATTATACTTTTTCTCTTGTTCTGCTGGACATTTCTTGTTTCCCTTGAGATTTCCCTAACGCATGGTAACTTACTTTTTGTTTTCCTAGGAAACCTCTCGTTCCTTTTGGACTAACAAAGTTTAGTGCACTTGTCCATCCTTCTCACGCTACTATTTGTTTATTAGTATTATGGGCTAGTATTACAAAAACAATTCAAGACTATAAATAGGTTTAGGAACCATTGTGCAAGGTATTAGACAAATTTATTAAAAAATCTTCTATTTTCTAACAGATGTCTAAAGTTAGTTAGTTGTATTTTAGTGATAACATCCATTCCCTCTGCAATTGCAACTTCTGTAGATTCATAATTTTCTTCAATCCATCCAACGAATAGTGGTTTTTTTGCCATAATGCAGGTTTAATCTCTCAATTTAAATTTTGCCTTTCTCTTTCTACATGCTTACCGAGGGCACCTCTGCAGTCACGCTAGCTGGTTCAAATTCAGCAAACTGTAACATCTTAGCTTTGATATGTAGTGTCTTCTGATCCACTGTCTGCACCTCAGTGTTGCACTATTGCATTCTCTATTGCAGAGGAATGCCTAAGAGGAACGTAGAAGAAACTCTGTAGAGTTTCAGAATAGATGTAATAACAGAAGTTGTTATTTTGCTCTCTTTTCTGTGTTGGTGGTTGGTCTGTGATGTAAACTGTGCAGACTGTTGGGGAAGGATTTGGATGGGGGGTTGTTTGGGGTGGGGTTTGGTATGTGCACACCTTTTATTGAATGTGTATTCTCCTTTTCACTGCTGGTAGATTTCAGCATCCCTGCTGTGTTACAACACTAGCATTATTGGAGAAAATTTCTTTGAGCTGTCTTTCTGGCCTAGTTTCAGACGGAAATTGAGATTTATGTAATCACATTGTGTCTGTCTGCCACTTTTTTCTCCTTGTGGCACCTTCCTGTCCCCCAGGCAACTTTGTACCTGTTAGGAGATTTAATCCAAAAGGATAGAGACAATTAAGAAAATTATTTAAAAAAAAAAGTTCATTTTCTAATGATTAACCTAATAGGTTATAAAAACACTGAAAGGAGGTCGTAGTTGTTATGGTTGCTTTTTATGGGCACAATTGTGTAATACTTTTATATACCCATTATGTTCATTTTCCTTTACTGTGGGTACCAATTAAAATTTGTGTGCAAAGGGTTTTGTGCTGCAACAAAAACACTACAAAGCGGTAATGGTAAAATATTAAAATTTATTAAATTTTTCTGTAGAAAAAAATGTTGATTAAATGTTGTAAAATATGTTTTGAGTCAGTGTTGCAAAATATTGATACAATGTTGCAAAACTGATCAGATTTCAGAAAAACAAATTATAAATCTAACATACAAAGATTTTCCAGTTCAAAAGTCTCATTTGACTACTCATTTGATGGTAAGTTGGTGAAAATAAATATATTTTGGTTAAAGAAAAGGTAAACTTTTAAAAATACTGGTGTGAAGTAAGCTTCAGAGTTTATTTCTGTGTTATGTGACGAACAGCAAAAATAACTGTGAAAACCAAAATCCTGCATTAGGTAATTTGGACTTTGAGTAGGGAATGAAGGCATTCCAAGTAAAATACAATTCCCTTTTGAATCCTTTCGAGGAATCTAAATAAGCTCCTGGGTTTATTTGTCAGTTTTGCTTATGAAATACTCTTCCATTTACTCAGAAGTGTATCAAACACATAACGGTTCTCTAATTTAGTTTGGCTAGAAAATGTCCAAGCTATTGTGGTTTTTTTTTTCCCCCTCAGAACATTATCAGCTGTATGTTCCTGAATCAGCTCAAGTTGGATCAGCAGTTGGCAAAATCAAAGCAAATGACGCAGACACTGGTTCAAATGCAGACATGAAGTACACAATTATAAATGGTGATGGCTCTGGGGTGTTCTCCATATCTACTGACAAAGAAACAAGGGAAGGAATTCTTTCCCTGAAGAAGGTAAGCAACAGACTTTGAAAGTTCCCTGTGTATGTAATTAAAATATAATGATGAATGTTGAATAAGCAGACACCATGATGAAAATATTTTACTGTGTAAACCTATTGAACCATGAACTTCAGCAGTGTAAGCTTCTCCGCATTGCTTCCTGAGACACTTTAAATCTTTGCAGGAAATGCAGGGAGAAAGAAATTCAAGGAAAGAAACAGTTATTTAAATCTTCTGTGTTTTTTGAATGGTCATATCTAATATTTATAATAAACTAAAACTTACTGAATTTTTGATTAAGATAGTTTAATTTTTCTAAATGATGGTTTTGTACATTACATTTCTTTGAAAGAAGTAAAATTTGGTTGAAAGTTGTCCTGTTGTCCCCAAACTGCATGAATTTTGACAGAGAAAGTTTATCTGTGGCAATGAATGTGTAATTCAGTTTTCATAGACTTATTTTTTTATTTACTTGCCAGCTGACATCTAAAGGGTCAAGTATTGTGCACTGTGTAATGTAAATACCGACTTGCTTATAAAAACTCAAAATGTAACTGGTCAAGCCATCACGCAGTTATAATTTATATGAATTTCCTATATTTATCCCAGTCTAATTAAACTGTTAATTGTAAAGTGTTCTTGCCATTTAACTTAATTCTTAACTGAATTCCATGCACAAATCTAATTCCATAGATAATTTCATCTCTGTATTAAGTCCTCTGAACTGAGTTCATAGTGAATGTTTCCCGAAGTGTCTGCCAACTTATGCTAATATTTTAGGGCTAGATTTAAATTTACTCATATAATAACCCAGAGAGATGGGTTGTTATATTTAAGTAATATTTTTTTAAAAAAACTTTCCAACAAAGGGAAATATTTTTTTTATTTCCATTTTCACTTGGACTAACAGATATCAATTAGCAATTCTCACGTGGATTTGTTGTTATTGAGTCTTGTAGGCATCAATTATATCCATACAGCCTAAAAAATAAAAGTGAATTTGTATTCATATTTGGCAATATGTATTCTGGGCCTGATTAACAGTAGGAGGAATGAAAACCAGAGAAAATGTGGGAAAAGAGAATAAATAAAAACTATCATAAAGAATGTTATTTTTTTGCATCTGAATAGATACGTACGTGTGTACATTTTTTTTTAACATCTTAAAAAAGATTTTGTAACTGAAGGAAATGTTGTTTTTATAATTCATAATGATTTTAAAAGGTTTCCTATCTCTCCCAGTATCTTAAAAAAGGTTTAATTCAGTGTCTTTTATAAAGGTTGTGTAATACCCACCTCTTCCAGCTACATAAAAGTAAACTGGTTTTTTTATACCATTGAACTTATTTCCTGGTGGCCTTGATGTAGCTAATGCCATAATCTGTTATTTCTTCTTCAAAATGAGCATTTTTCTCTGTTTAAAAGTTCACCATGTTTATTGTTCATTAAATACAACATTTATGCATATTGAGAACATGAAGCAGAAAGGAAGAATTTGCAACAAAATGGAAGAGTTCATACATAAAAAGTGTAAAATCACATTTCTTACTGGTTTTGGCAGACAAAATAGCTTCAGAGAAATTTTCACTGTTTTAGAATATGACAAAGGCATATGTTGTCTGTTCTTATACATACACGACAGTGATTTGAGTAATTTTCCCATCAAGACAAGGGGTACATTTTGCTTAGGTAATGTTATATTTCAGTTGAGCAGAAATTCAGCACTTAAAGCTACATAAGTTGGTGTGGAATACCTCCATTCTTTCCTCAGAGAAGTTATAATATCCCCTTATACAGTACAAAAAGGTAATCTCTTTTTTTTAATTGTTTTTTTACTCAGATCTTGTATGCAGTTTAATAGGTATTTTATATACTGTATGCTGTAATTACTTTTAATTTAGATTGGGTTTGAAGCTGAATTAGTTTGATAGCCTTCCCAAAACAGATAATCTCCACTAAGAACAGAATCGGTTTTGTTTCTTATATAAGATGCCAGTACCTTCTATAACAGTAGAATAGAATGATTTGTCCTCTAATACTTCTCTGGAAGAATGTCTAGTAGGCACATCAGAAAAGCCAGAAGTAGATGTATTATTGTGTCTGAAGATCTGAATTACTCCTCAAACCTTTTGAAACTTCATTTATTTGAGGTTCTGATGCAAAAACCAATTTCTCAGCGCCTCCACGCTAGGCAGTTCAACAGGCATGCAAAGTCTGTGGGTGTTGGAAGGAATCTTTTCTAGTCTCATTCTGGGCTGACCCAAAATGTCCGGTATTTTCATTATCTCCCCTATTGACAAGCCCTGTGGAGCCACCCTTCAGTCTCAAAGATCCTGCCACAAAAGGTTGATTGCAAACTGTCATGAAGGATTTCCCCTTTGCCTCATGCAATTCCTTGTTTGAGCGGGAGACTAGAGGAAACCAAAACAAAATAGCACAGTGAAAGCCATTACTCTCTGGATCCTTCAGAGACTGACTGGTCAGCATGTTCACCCCTGTTGTGGCTTTCGGAGAGCTATGCTAGAACTTTCCTGACCTCATGTCTGAAAGTATCATTCAGGCTTCCCAGAAAAAAATCGTCTGAACAGCCTATGTCTCTTCCATTTTGTATGAGACTGGAAATGTTCAGGAAGAGGCTATTTACTTCTCATAAAATTCTGCTATTCCTTTTGGGAGTCTGATATTAGAAACACAAACTGCAGTATAATGAACAGCAGTATTTTCCAGTTAGGCCTGTGATTGGTCACTTGAGCTACATTTAGCATTTTCAGTTTTGCATGAAAATCAGAATAACCAATGAATACATACTGAAGATGTGTGGGTAATGGTCATGGAAAGACATTGTGCTTTGGGAAAATAAGAAACATGAACAAAAATTCTTTTTAGATCCATCTAAAATTTAAATGTTTTGTTTTCTTTCCAGGAAAGAGCTCTTCAGTGTTCAGACAATTTTAAGTAAATCTAGAAATGATCATCTAGATTTCTAGAGAGACAGGATAGTGCTGCCTCTCTTACCTTATAGCTACAGCTAGTGACTGAGATAGGCAACTGATATTCAAGGCCTGCCTGTGAGTTAAATGAGGGAGAGTTTAAACTTCGGTTTTACACATTACAAGTGAATGTCTTTACAAGTAATTTATTTGAGTATTTGCTTCTCTTGGAGAGAGCAAGGGGTCAGAAAGGACAGAGCCACATCTTTCTGTTTGGCTATTTGAAGTTAAATGAGTCCTATTGTGAATCTGATGAGTTAGTTAAAATATTTCCTTTGTAAATATAAATTATTTTGCATTATCATTTTTATGCCCAAACTCTTGCTGAATTAGACTAGCTTAGGTATTTTAAGCTAAATGTTATGATTAATAAATTATATTTTTAAAAAAGGGAATAAAAACCTCCTACTGGTAAACAGCTCAGATTACCTGAAATAATGGATGAGTCTTTGAGCAAATTTCTTAGCACAGCATTAGTCAGGGTATAAATGGGGGCCCAATTTGTTCTTCAAATGTAAGATAAATGTCAATTGTAACACACACACAGTGGTTAAGCAGAAGCCTAACAAAATACAGTTCTGTGGATTCAAATTGCAACCAAATTTCAGTTTTTTAATATTTTATCAAAAGGAAAAGGAAAAGTGATGTAACAACTGGACTTGTGAGTTGTTCAAAGATGTGGAATATCACAGGGCATGCTTTGCTTGTAAATTTCCTTACTTCTTCTCAGGAAAGTACAAGGAAAATAAAAAAAAATTGTTACTAATTGTGACCCCTAGTAATAATAATCCTTAGTACAGTATGTGTCTTTTCTGTCTAAAATACCTCAATGTTGAAAACAGTCTTGTTTTTAAACCTCTGTGAATCACAGTGCAGGAGAGTAAGCTCTTTTTCTCTTATGTCCCAGTATCTGATTCTTTAATTCAGAGACGTTACGGGAGGAAGAAGAAGAAGAAAGAAAACGAAAGTAAAAAACTGCTTTGGCTATGGTTGAAATGTTTTTCTGATTATCTGAATGGTTTATTCTTGTATTTCTAGACAAAAAAAAAAAAGTGTTGGTATTGTCTGATTGAATAACTACACAAAAGAAAGAAAATAAGACTTTAGAGTTTGTGTTATTCCTCGTGTGTTTTCTGGGATAAATTAATCTTCCTATGCAACCTAATCCAGTCATTGTCAGTATAAACGTAAGTTAATTTTCCAAAAAGGCATCATAGTTACAATTTGCAATCCTATTGTAAACTTGTTTAATCTTAGAATGTATATGCTGCAGAGCAATGCAAATTACTATTTAATATTTCCCTGCTCATAACAGAATGACATTATAAATTAATAAACATCTGAGTTAGAATTTAATAAACTTATATTTCTTTATGAATTGATTTAATTGAGTAGTATACTTAGCTCTTTTTTTTATAATAATAGATTTATCAGGCTATGGTAAATTTCCATGCCCTTAGAATTTTTATTTTTTACATTCAGTAAAGGGAGACAGAGAAAGCAAAATACAAAAAAGTCTCATGCTATTGGAGTTAAGAGAATGAATTAATTGTCCTTCAGTACACAGAGGAGAAATCAAAGAAATATACAGCATATATAAATCCTGACCAACTATTTTTCTTATACATCATCAGTCAAATTTACTGTAGATTTTATCTACAAAATACACAGTGACATTGACAAATCACACATTGAGTTCCTCATATTTCTTGCCTTAAGTACTACTTTTCTACTCTTTGGGGCCATAGGAAATACCAGTTTAGCCTTGGTTGAAGGCTTGAATACTTGTACTGAGTTCTGTTCAGGCAGGCTGCCAGGTCCACACAGGACCATACCGGTCGTAGGGGAATTCTGCCATGCCATAATGTCATAATAATTTCAATTCTAAAAAAAAAATCCACGCGGATGCAACTTCTTTTAGTGTTATGCCTGTGTTCTGAGACTGTTGGAAACTTAGTGGTAGTATATATATATCTGTACAAACTACCTGCTTTGCTCAGTATGATAATAAATATTAATCTACCTGTCCTTCTTTATAAATTGACAGAAGCCAGAAATTTGTAACCTAGTAAGTATTGAGGTCTCTATTATCAAGAATGAGTGCTTTTGCTCAACACAGAAGCACATTTAAAACTATCAATCTGAATTTTGAAATCTCTCTTATGACCTCCTGGAACTGAGCTGGTATTTTTTAAAGCCTTTTCAGTAATTAGAACTAACAGACAATGTATAGAAAAAATAACTTCTCACGTGAAATTCTTGATGGGCTGTCTATGAAAAGTAGTCAGTTACTTTAGTGGGACTGAAGAAACCAACTCAAAATAGTTGTGGTCCTGTCAACATGGCTTCCAGTAAAAATATTTCTTAATTCTACATCTGCTAATGGAACGTCATTACTTGCGTACTTTTAAGTTAACTATCCTTTTAGTCCCCTCTACTACATAACTATCTGACACTGGAAGAGTTGAGAGTTGGGTGTGTCATGTTTACCTTATATCTTGCACAAGACAGTGTAATAGCATGCTAAGGTAGGGTCAAAATAAATATATCAAGGCAGTAAAATTAGTTCACAATAATCTGAAAACCAGCTGAACTAGGGAGATTAAATTTTCACATATGTAAATAGCAAGCTAGAAATGGGACTCCTAAGAAAGAAAGTATCCATGCTGTGTGATATATGAGTCAGACCCCCAGCTGCTTCCTTCCTAGTAGAGAGGTAGGATTCCTAGTAGGAACCTATTGATTTAAATAACAGGGCAATGCTAAATTGGCAGTGGTGCTTCTGGTGGATGGTACAGCTGGTGATGTGCCTTCTGTTGGGTTTTACTGGAACATTAGGCCCTGTAGAAGGCATATCCCCAGCTGCAGACTTTCTTCCCGTTTATGATGGCATAATCCATGTGCAGCACAGCAGTATATGCTGAGACAGGCTGAAGAATTGTCTCTCTCGTTGTTGCTGGAATTGAAAAGAAAATGGTCTAGAATATAGGGGTGGGCTCCTTCTGTTTAGAAAAGCACACAAGCACATGTTTAGGCTATTCTTACACAGTTAAGTTCCCGGCTCTTATGATAACTGAGTGTTTTCCTGCAAGGAGTTGCTTTTTTCAGTTGAGAATTTAAAAGAAGAGATGTCCAAAAGAATTTTGGTATCCCTATCACTATTAAACTTGTTAATTAAAGATATGAAGTTAATTTAATTTAGGATACATCAGTCTCTACCTTTTTCAGTATTTAGCATTGACCAATAAAAATTGAAAGGTGATAAAATCCAGAGTTTACATTATCATGGAAGAAGAATCTGAGGCTCATTCTAAACCCTGAGTTTTTCCAAAACTGGTACCTTGCCCACAATTCTGTTGTAGAGATAACCTGAATCCATCCTGCTTCATGTATATCCTTCTACTTACAGGGTATGGCAGTTGCTGCCAGAATATCAGAGAGTATCGTCCCTTTCCAGTAACATGAAGAAATGTGGTTTAAGTTAAATGGAAAAGATGTAGTTAGCTTGCTAGCAGGCTAAACTGAAGCACAGAATGGCATTGATAAATCTTTTTTTCTGCCAACAGCCACTCAACTATGAAAAAAAGAAATCATATACACTTAATATAGAAGGAGCAAATACTCACCTTGATTTCCGCTTTTCGCACTTGGGACCATTCAAAGATGTAACAATGTTGAAGATCATTGTTGGTGATGTGGATGAACCTCCGCTCTTCACTATGCCTTCCTATGTCATGGAAGTTTATGAAAATGCGAAGATCGGGACAGCTGTTGGCACAGTAACGGCACAAGATCCTGACACTGCCAACAGTTTAGTGAGGTATAGTAAGTCCAAATTATACAGGATTGAATTCCAAGACCTAAAGGGTTAATGAGATCTGGGATGTACGAAACTAGGTCTCTTATTTTAGTACCTAAAGGGAAACATAGGTCAGAAGAGTGTTATGATCAGTCTGTATGGATTAGATTTAATAATGTAATCTTCAACCTTTTGTTAGTTTGCACTAAAATTGCCATCTAGCCATTGGTCTGAACAAAGGTCTGTGTGCACCAGTTCCTGTAACAGCACCTCTCCAAACTGCCCACTGAACAAGGCCAGTGTATGTTACCACATCATGTAAAACGGTGCACTTCACTGACCTGCTGCCAATCAGTATCCTGCCACTAGTTATAAATCTGTTCAGGATCATAATGCTGTTTTTACCCTGCCGTGCAGGTATTTTGCGGGCCCTCTGCACACTTGCCACACTGTAGTTGTCCCAGGTGCTTGTGCAAGACAGCAACTGGTTTAGGTACGCCTTTCCTCACAGACTTGCAGTATAATTTTTGCAAAATTGTGTTTGAGGAGGAAGCCATGATTTTGTAATACGCTTCAGTTTTAGTGGGGTATCAAAAGAATAGAATGGGTGTAATAATGCACCCCACTGGTGTTGCTAGGGATATGTCACGCTATATCAAATTGTGAGGTCTAGGGCAAAGAGAAGTGCTGAGAAGCAAGCACTTGCAGCATCAGATAGATACATCATTTGAAAACTAAATGAATATGTAACATACTAGGAAGGAAAGATTTTGATAGTCTTTTTAATGAAATTCATTCTGAAAGAAAATGTTCTCATTAAAAAGAAAAAGGGGAAAAAAAAAAAAAAAAGAAAAGAAGATTTCTGTGTTGCTGCTCTGGCCAGAATACTTCTTCTAATAACAGAACTGGCTTGGAAATAGGTCATGGTCTGAACTAAGGAACTGAAATCAAGCTGGAAATACCCCCACAGCAAGCTTGAAAAAGCATTGATGCCAAAAATATACATATGGATGTTAATTTGACTTCTTCTAAATTTAAGAGCATTTGGATTTAACCTTGAACGCTCTGGAATTGGGGTTTGAATTCATTACTGGTTTAGAGTAAAGTTTTCATTTTCATGTTTTCAGTTATAATAGGATCCAGTAACATTTTTTACTGGCTTCATTTGTGGGATGAGTTACTTTCTAAACTGAAATGCAGTGTGAGAATTTTGTGGAACAATACATGAACGTTTGTCTTGAAGGTGGTAGTGGATTTAAAAGGTTTCAGAAAAAAATTCCTTGTGAAAATGTATTTGATGCTATTCCTTTTTATGACTTAATGGTATAGCCTTTATGGAAATCATATGAGTATATACTTGGAAAGCAGTTTTTCTTAAGCTAATTGGGCATTTTTAGTCTTCTGACTGAGTTGAAATCTGCTGGGTATGTGTAATAGTCTTGGTAAGATGAAACAATTTTTGCTGAACAATGAAAGCATCAGGGTTTTATGGTTCTCTTGTGCTAATAGTCTAAGATTCAAAATGTTTAGTGTCAGACAATCAATATATGCAATTTCTTAGTGGCAAGTTATTGCCTTTGAAAAATTGACACTATGGTATTTGTGTCTAAACCATAACATAAATAAGAAAATTTGGCTAAAAATAACTGCCAAGTGCCTGTAGCTTTAATACTATAATTCTGAAACAACAGCTAACATAGTGAGACAGATGAGCCATCATGGTAGTCTGGGAGTAGGAATGGCAAGTGCAGATTTAACTAGTTCCTCCATAATTCAACCATCTGTGGCTCCTAAGAGTTTTTTCTAGAAAGGGGTAAGACAACTGTGGTAAAAGGGAAACAGCAGCAGTTTGTACAGAGGCTGGGAAAGCCAGAAATAGATTTTCTTGGTGAAACAGGCAATAATTTGGAGATAGAGGGATTGGAAGGAAAAATATTTCCAAATATTTTGCTTTTTGTATTGGCCTTTTTTTTTCCCAAACAGGAATTTGTAACCAGTCATTGAGGCCAGAATATTAAATATTCATATTATTCCAATAAGTGAGAAGAGAAATTGTCCTTACTTTTGTCTATCCTATTTTTTCCCCCCATTGACATTTATTTCTGCATTGTTCCTTCCATCTCTCTCTGTTTCAATGGGGAAAAAAAAAAAGTGCTAGCAAAACACACCGAATCGTGAAGCTCTGAAAGGAGCCAGCCCTCAGTTACATGTTGGAGGGATTCGTCAAGGGCAGTAGCAGCGCAGATATCCTTGATGTATCATTACATTGTGACTGGGTCCACTCTCTAGCCAGGCTTTATCCATCTCGGTGGAACTGACAGTGAATGTCGTTTGTGAGCATGCGGGCTTTTTATGAAGACGCTAATCCTCTAAGGACTGGACTAACACTGTGCATGGGACTCTGAAGAGGTACCAGGCTGGGTTGGTGTGCCCTCAGGTTCTCCTTGAGCCTCCTCCTGCAGGAGGAAAAAGGGTGCTCTGGGAACAGGTAACTTTAACCCCGCTTCCCTCACCTCATTTCACACACAAACACTGATGCGGTGCAGAAGGGCTTGGTGTTGTTTCAAGATTTGGCCGTGGCTTTGGGAAACTACGGGTTGGAAGTGGCGCACGACCTGAGAAGAGGGCCAGGCTGGCCGGGCTAAGCTGCTGCTCCACCAGAGGCAGGGTCCTGCCCCACCCTCCACTCACAGCAGCGAGCAAAGGAGCGGCTCGGAGGAGGATGTTTTTCTCAGAAGCATGCACACAGTGCATTTATGTCCTTCTACGACAGCGTTGGTGGGTAAGGGAAGAGCAACCGACGTCATCTACCTGGACTTGTGCAAAGCATTTGACACTGTCCTGCACAACATCCTTGTCTCTAAATTGGAGAGACATGGATTTGACGGATGGACCACTTAGTGGATAAGGAATTGGCTGGATGGTCGCACTCAAAAGAGTTGTGGTCAATAGCTCGAAGTCCAAGTGGAGACCAGTGACGAGTGGCATTCCTCAGGGGTCGGTATTGGGACCGGCACTGTTTAACATCTTTGTCAGCGACATGGACAGCGGGATTGAGTGCACCCTCAGCAAGTTTGCTGGTGACACCAAGCTGTATGGTGCGGTTGACATGCTGGAGGGAAGGGATGCCATCCAGAGGGACATTGACAGGCACTTTGAGAGGTGCGCTCATGTGAACGTCATGAAGTTCAACAAGGCCAAGTGCAGGGTCCTGCAAATGGGTTGGGACAATCCCAAATACAAATACAGGCTGGGCGGAAAATGGATTGAGAGCAGCCCTGAGGAAAAGGACTTGGGGGTGTTGGTTGATGAGAAGCTGGCATGAGCTGGCAAGTGCACTTGCAGCCCAGAAAGCCAACCGTATCCTGGGTTGCATCAAAAGAAGTGTGACCAGCAGGTCGAGAGAGGTGATTCTGCCCCTCTACTCTGCTCTCATGAGACCCCACCTGGAGTACTACGTTCAGCTCTGGGGTCCCCAGAGAAGGACATGGACCTGTTGGAGCTAGGCCAGAGGAGGGCCACAAAGATGGTCATAGGGCTGGAGCACCTCCCCTATGAGGACAGGCTGAGAGAGTTTGGGTTGTTCAGCCTGGAAAAGAAGGCTCTAGAGGGAGACCTTATTGCGGCCTTCCAGTACCTGAAGGGGGCCTACAAGAAAGCTGGAGAGGGACTTTTTCCAAGGGCATTTAGTGATAGGACAAGGGGTAATGGCTTT